ATCGATAGCTTCTGGGAGTGCCAGCGCTCCTTGTTCGTTGCGGTTCACAGCCACCTCTCGTTCGGCGGCGAGTGGGCGGACACCCTCAAGCAGATCAACGACACCATCCCCGTCCTGGAGACTGGTAAGGCTGCCACGGCTTACCTCGATGACTTGGACTTGTTCTTCTCCCACGAGGCCGTTGCTTCTTGTGACGACTGGCGCCTCATGGCGGCAAAGACGGTCACGTTCACTCAGCAGGTCTACCCAGGCATCGACCCCTCGACGAAGGAAAGCGCCAAGCAGAGAGTGGTCGCCAAGGCGTTCATTGTAGTGGAGCAGGCGATCCACCACCACAAGCACGAAGGCACCCTCACTACTAACCTGGCGGATGCGATTGGCGATGCTATTGCTTCGTGGTTCAATTGGGTCCAGGCGACGGGGTACGATCAGTGGAAAAAATGCGTGGGCGCTGCCCTCGACCAGGCCCGCCTTCTCGAGAGACTCGGGAACCACTTCGGTACGGACCGCGCTGCCTACAGGGACCTTGCAGTGACGCAGGCTGGGGCTAATCTCATGGCGGAGGCAATCAGCCTTGCGAAGGCCATGAGCTCGATCAGGTCCGAGCTGCATGAGCGCGCGCCCGACCCTATGAAGCGCATGCTTGACGACGAGCTCACGCCAGCGTACATCACTTTCATCAGCACTGCAGTGGTGGGCATGTACAAGCAGGCCTTCGATGACGATGTGGCGTCCAACAAGTGGGAGGACATTGCAGGCGGGGGTACCGACGGTGCGATGTGGTACGCTGCCGCTGCCAACGCCGACATCATCGGGGATTGCGTGACTGCGGCTGGCGACACGATCTTCACGTACTCGCCCGAGCAGCGGAAGAAGATGCTCGACGAGTTGGTTTCCAAGCACAGCCAGATGGTGAAAACCGCCAAGTTCTACGACGTGGTTTCGGGACCGACGAAGACGGCAATCGACCTTGGTGAGAAGCTGTTCCGCATGGCCAGGGCTGCGCACTACGGTGGCATTTTGGCGTACGTGGCGGCCAACACGGACAAGTCCGATTTGAGCAGGATGCGGAAGCAATGCGCGGACCCGCTGGCGCAGATCAAGAAGTTGGGGATCCAGGAGTCCGTGCCGTCGGGCCTCCTCGAGATGGCGGGCAGGGCCGTCAAGATGCAGCGGGTGTCCTAGACGAACGACGGCGATTGCCGAGACAGCTGGGCCGCAGCTGGAGCCTTGAAAACAAAAAACGAAAACATCGTCACAAGCTTGATGGCCTGGGTGGGCTCTTGGACCAAGAGGCTTCTTGGGGAGTCTCTTGGGGTTTGTTGGGGGGGGGCTTCGGGGTGTCTTGGGGGCTCTTCGGGGCATCTTGGGGCTTCCTGGTTGCCTATTGGGGCGGAAGGCTCGTATGTTTGGTTCGCGGTCCTCTTCATGGGCCCCTCTTTGGGCCGCCTTGGAACCCTCTTGGGCCGTCTTGGGCCGTCTGGCGTGTGACTCTCTTGGGCACTCTTGGGCCGTCTTAGGGCGCTCTCTTGGGTCGTGCTGGTATGGTCTTGGGGGGCCCTCGGGCTGTCCCAGAGCGTCGCAAGCTCAAAAAGGGGAGCTCGTCGTCGTCGTCGTTGCCGCCGCCGCCACCGCCGTCGTTGGTTGGTTCAGGAGTTTCCTTCCTCGTATGTTCGCCGCGCAGGGTCCTCTCCTGATTGTTTCCTCTCCCTTGGCCCTTGTCCTTATCCTCATCTTCGTTACTATGATCCTCGTAGTCCTCCCCCCCCGCATCTTCAGCTTCGCGATGTGCCCAAAGTTCACATTATAGTCTTCACGCTTCGCGTATCCCCACCAGCCCATCCCAAGACAGCCGCCAGGTCACGTTTTCTTGATGAGGGAAGTGTAGCAGCAAGCAATTCAATCATAAACAACGTCCGTCTTGGAGGCCCATTGGGGTCGTCTCTTGGGCCATCCTGAGGCTATCTTGGGCCGTCTTGGGTGCATCTTGGGCCGCCTTGGAGGCATCGTGGGGCCATCAGGGGTTCTCTTGGGGCCATCTTGGCGCTCTTGGAGGCCATCTTGGGCGTATTGGAAGCCATTTGAGCCGTATGTGGGCCCTCTTTGGGTCGCCTTGGGGGCCTCTGGGGCCGTCCTGGGGCAATATTGGGGCCTCTTGGGGCGGTCTTGGAACGCTCTTGGGGGCTTCTTGGGGGCCTTGGAGGGCCTCTTGGGGACCATCTTGGAAGCGGTCGGTGAAAAGAGGGGACGTCCCGATCGCGCCCCCTCCCTCGGAGGCCGCGATCCCTGTGAGCGGTGTCAAACAATAAGCTCCCCACTGTCAGAAAACAGGGCGCTCCAACCACCCGCTACCACCCCCCCGTCCAGGTCTAGGGGAGGGGGTCGGGGGAGGGGTAAACCCCTCCCCATAGGGGACGATGAGTTGTTGGCAGAGGGAAGAGGAATCTCGTTAGACCACCGTCGCCCAAAGGGCTGGTGGGATTCGCTATTGCGCCTTCCGCCTGTCCTTTGCTGCCCTTGTTGGGACGTCAAGGTCCATTCAAGACTATCTCGATGGGTCCTGGGTGCGCCTCGGCCGTCTGGGCAACTTCTCGGGGTCGTGTTGCGATCCTTTGGTGGGCGCGCTGGGCCGTCTTGGTGGCCGTCTTTGGCAGTCTTTTGGAGGCCGTCCTGTGGCTTCGGTCCCTTTGTTTACTTCAGCTTGGAATGAGACTTGACTTCTCGGGGGCGTCCTTGGCGGCCCGCGGAAACTCTGGAGCCGTCTTGGGGCCGCTCGCGTTCTTCACTCCAGCCCGTCGCGGGCGATTTATGAGCCGCGCTTACATGTCTTGCGCCACGGTGAAGCCATATTGGGCCATCTTGGGTCTTCGTGGCGCCATTTCGGGCCATTTAGGAACTGCAAAGAGAGCACAGGCACGCTTTGTTCAAACCCAGGGCGGCGCATTAGAGCGCCGAAAGCATTTTTCCAAAGGGTTAGACTGCCTTTGGAAGAAACACAATCTTCAGCTATGGCGTTCTAAAGAGCTGGCGGCGTTCGGACCGCGGGCGGCGCTGCGACTAGAAAGCCGCGTTCGCCTAAATGAAAACCAAAACTGGCTTCTATTTTCAACCTCCGCGGAAACCTATGTTTTTTCTATGTTTTGCCTATCGCGCTGTTTTCCTGGATTCTATCTACAAAGGGGCGCGTGGGCATCACAACGCCAGCCCGACACCTATGGGCAAGGCCCGCGCCTTCTGAGAACCAGGGGTGCTTCTAAGAAGCCTGCCGCCTCCCCCTGCCGCCATCTGCGCGTCGCCGAATGCACGTCCTTCTTTCATTCCTGACCTGCCCTAATTATTAGGGTTAGGTTGGGCATGCCCCCCATACAGGCGGATTTTGCGAGAAAAACGCAAACTAGTAAAACCATGTTCCAAAATAGTCAATGAAAGTCGAGAATTCGTCCCCGAAATATTCTGTCACTATTTTTGAAGATTCCCCCTGTAGAGGGACATGCCCGAGCGGGCCGTCCCCGGCCCAGGCCGTGAGCGAAGCGACGCAGGCAAAGTGCCCTGGCGCCGCGGGGACAGACCGCGGCACCCCGCTCTTCCCCTCGGCTCGGGCTTCCGCGGCGGTCCCGTCTCGGGGCTCCGAGACGCTCAGCGAGCTCATCCCGGACGAAGAGCCATGGGGCCCAGAGTAGAGAGCAGAAAATCCACCCTCATCAGAATCACCCCGACACGCGAAGCCGTTTAGTAAACGCACCCAAAGGAGGAATCGAACAGGGCAGGGCTGTCCAGTAAACGCTCAGGGCCGTTTAGAAAACGCCAATTACCGGGGCCGGGTGGTTTTTCCTCCCTTGATAGAGGCGACGGTGAGGGCATTAGATCTCTCCGCGGCCGAGGACTTGCATGCACGGACGAACGAACTCAAGCAACTGGGCCCAGACCACCACTGCGGAACCACAGTGCGCATGGCGGCACTGGGCACAAAGGGGCCGGCTCGAAGAGGGCAACAAGGGAGCTGACAGCACGGTTCACAACGCAACTCCTGGTGTGCCGACGCGCCCGACGCGCTGCAGCCTGCAAGCTGCTCGTAGGTTCTCACCTCTCTCTGAGCGCTCGGCAGACGACACGAAGGACTACGTGTCGGCAGACGACAAGAAGGACTCCGTGTGAGGATTGCCGAGGCTATCAAACTGCAGCCCCGGCGGCGTCAGGCCCGGCCCGCAAACGCTCCGGCGACCTGTTGGGCCCGTCGCAGACTCGAGCTCCTCGGCGAGGGCGGCCTGGAGCCCTCAGCTGCCCCGGTGAGGGGCAGGGCTTTGGACCAGGAACCACTGAAGAAGGATTCCAGGGTCTGAAAGCTGGTGAAACTCCAGTCGTGGATCGGCCATGAACAACGCTGCCGCCCTCGGCAGGTACGGAATCCCGCAGGGTCTGAAGCCTCCTGGGCACAGTTCCTGAGGTCCGACGTTGCAAAGCAAACGTGCAACGTCGCATTAAAATCACCAACGAAACCCTGGATCCAATCTTCTGCGTCGTTTTCCGAGCCGGATCGATCTGTGAGGGTCCCGGGGCCCGAAACTTCCGCAACGCCCGGATCTGAGGGCTCCTTGACCAGCGCCCCCACCGTAAAGGCCCCGCGGGCCCAGGCCAGTCGTCAACAGAGACTCAGGACGCCAGAAGTACAGCGGGGGGGGAGGGCCGAGCTCCGAGCCCTCAGCGGGCGAGCAGCGGCGCCACAGGGAGAAGTGCTGGTGGCGCGGAGGGGGGGGCGCATGGGGCCCCCCTGGCGGCAGGAGGCCTCGGTGCCCCCACGGGGGAGCCATCTCCGCAGGAGGCTCCCCGCCGCCTTTCGGGGCGTCCTGCGGCGCCCGGGGACGTATCTGGAGCCTGCTCTGTCGGTCGTGGGCGCCCCGCAGGAGGCTGCCCCCCAGGCCGCGCTGGGCCGTTCATGGATAGGTTCGGAGGCGCCTTGGGGGGCGCCCACTGGGCGCGTGGAGACCGGCCAGGCCGATTTTCATCGCCTCGAGGCTGGCGTCCTGTTGGAGCGCGACGCGCACGATGTTGCAGGGGGGATGGCGCTCAGCTCCAACGTCGCCTCCTGCATCTCGCTGGGCAGCGAGACGCGCTGGGGCCGGCTCAGAACGGCTCCCCCTCCTCGCGCTGCGCTGATCAGGGCACTGTACCTGGTGACGCCGGGTTGCAACTTCGCCTCCCTCATCTCGCCGAGCAGCGCCAAGATCCCCTGCCACTGCTCGCCCGTCTCGCACGCGCTGGTCCGAGCATTGGCGATACGATGATATCAACTAGGTGTGAATCCAACGCGTGCACGGCTGGCAGGTCGATGTTGGGCTACATGATGCGTGGGACTCCATCCAGCGCGGCGGGCGCGCGCGACGGAGCCACGCCCGCGAGGGGGAGATCTCCCTCGCCCGCGTGGCACAGGAGGCCGAGAAAGCGGAGAGCCTCGGCCCGCAGGCCCCTCACGCTCGTGCAGGCGCGCGAGCTGCTGGAGGCGCACCACGGGAGCATCAGGGCTGGCAGGTTGACCAGGACTACGCCCGCTGTGCGACGTGGGGATGCAAGGGCTGGATCACGGACGCCATCTGGAAGCCAGGCCTGCAGTGCCACGGCTGCGAGGCGACCTTCCAGAGGCCGTGAAGCGTCAAGCAGGCGGAAGCTGCATCAAGCTCCTCCTCGACGAGCCAGTCCTGGACAGGAGGCCGCCAGCGCGGAGGTGGAGGCCAGAAGGTGGAGAAGGCGGAGAAGCAGGAGCTCTCGCAGGCGCTGGTCGTCATAGCGGAGAAGCTGGGGACCATGAAGCTGGAGAACAGCGAGAAGCTAGGCACCCAGGTGAAGGGGCTCGCACAGCAGATCGCACAGGCCGCTCCGCCTAAGGTGAAGACCAAGCCTGACAGGATGGCGGAGGCTGCCGAGGCGCTGAGGATTGCGAACAAGCATTTCCTGGCGGTGGCAGCGGAGGTCAACGAGCAGAGGGCTTGGCTGCGCGAGCCAGAGGCCAAACTAAGCGAGAAGAAGGCGGCGGCCGTTGCCGAGAAGGAGAACACCTTGGAGGCGATCCACGCGGAGGGCCAAGGAAGGGCAGCAGCAGAGCTTCACGAAGCAGCTGATCACCCAGACGCCCGAGGACATGGCGCTCGATGGGATCATCGACCTCGAAGACGAGCTGGAGCTGGAGGACGACGAAATGGACGAGGCAGCACGCCAAGCGGTCGCGGAGGCCAAGAAGAAGGTGCTGCAGGACCTAAAAGAAGGAGCGAAGTCGCATGCACAGCAGCTGCAGGAGCACATCCGAACGGCGAAGGAGGCGGCGGCAAAGAACAGGGAGGCGATCAAACAGGAAGTAAAGAAGAGGGAGGTGGAGACCCCGATGGAGCAGGCACCGGCTGCAGCAGCGGCAGCAGGAGCACCTCCAGGCCCAGTCGGCGCGGCAGCTATGGGACCCACGCCAGATGCTGCCGCAGTCAAGGTCGACAGCGACGACGACGAGGAGATGGAGGAGGAAGTGCTAGAGCAGGCCAGGGCCAAGCTCGCCAAGACTGGCGGGACGGCCCCTGGCAAGCAGGAGTGACTCCTACACCCTGACGCCCGCACCTGCAAGACCGACCAGGGCGTCAGGAGTATCTTCGTCGGCAACATCACAAAGTGGGGCCCTACTGTGGAGTCTTGGCTTCGGGATAAGCACCTGGGGATCACTGGCAACAAGCACAGCGGGCAGAGGTTCGACACATACCCAATTCAGGAGACCCACCTTTGATACCACCTGCTGGAGGAGAAAAAGGAGCTCCTCAACAAATGGGGATTGAGGGCGTACTTCGCGGCATCTCAACCTTCCGTCACGTCCGAGGGGGGCTCGAGAGGAATAATGACAGCCGCACTTCAAGAGCTCGTTCTTCCGCGAGTACGCGGCGTACGGCAGTGTTTCGGGTGCTACTGCTGGCAGTCATGGCGTACAAGGACAAGCCGAGGTGGCAGAAGACGTTGGCATACTTCAGGTGGAGGATTGGACAGCGATGACCTGGCATTTAAAAGACTGTAGTCTCGTGGTCATCTCGGTATACCTGAGGTGCGGCCAACCGCTGAAGGAGGGGGCCAATGCAAGGCGATTGGCTGAGGTGGCGAGGTTTACACGGTCTGTGCGCACGCCCTGGATCATCGCGGGGGACTTCAACGTAAGCCCGACCAGGTTCGCGGCCGAGGGCTTCTGCGACTTCCTGGGCGATGCGCGCACCTACACTATGCCAGGCGACGCGCCGACCTTCTACAGGGCAGACGCGGAGCCGTCCCTCATCGACTTCGTGCTGGCGAGCCCATCGGCCTGCAAGCACATCGTCAAGCTCGATGCTGTCTCAGAGGTAAGCTGGAAGCCGCAAGCCAACAGCTCACCATCAGGTCGCAGCTCGAGCACAACATCACCAGGGTGCTGAAGATGCCGAATGCGTTCTGCAACCCGAAGCGCGACACGAGGAAGGTACCGAACCCAGACAGTACAGCGCAGAGGCGGCAACTACAGCGAGCACCGGCACAAGAGGAGCGACAAGAGCAGGCACTCCAACCCCTACGGCAAGAGCACGTCATGGGAGGCCCTATCACCGATTGGATGGACGTCAGTCCCACTTCTACCTGGCGGTGACCAACCTGATCACCTGCCGCGAAAGTGGGGAGCGAGGCGAACGCAAGACCAATAATCGGAGGCACCGACACCAGCTACATCGAGTCAGCAGAGGCCTGTGGCAGAGGCCAGCCAAGACGATGGAAGCCAGGGATCGGGGACACCGACACCAGACAATTCGAGAACGAGACAGTGGCCTGCACCAGGGGCCAGAGAAATTACGACGAGAACAGCACCAAACGACATGGACAACCCAGAGGCAGACATCATGGAGGAGGACCTGGAGGAGTGGAACTTCTACCGAGAGGAACCCCTCCCGCCAGAACTGGAAGGGCGTGAAATATCAGGAGATCAAACAGTGGGAAGCCTGCCACGGCCCGACACTGTAGGGTCCCCTCCAGCAGCCTCGGCAGCAGGTGACGGCAACGATCCTGACACCGAGGCGGCTGGCCAGGCGCGAGGCTGCGACCCCTGGAACGGCATCGAGGCAGGGGACAGCGAGCTGGAGGAGGAGAAGCCCAACACCGAGCTGAAGGACCAGCAGGTCGACACGACCACGCTGAACCACCTGTGGGACAAGCTTCTATATGAACCACGCCAGGAGGAGGGCGAAAGTACCGGTATACATCAGCGACACGGCGGCGTTTAGGGCTACGGAGACGGAGGCTACCAAGCTACCACGATGGAGTGCTTCCACTGCGAAGCCTACGAAATCAGCGAGAGGTACAAGGGGTACAAGGGCAGAGGTACAAGGGCAGAGGCGAAGCGTACGAGTTTCAGGAGAAAGAAGTCCGAGAGTCAGGAGCGAGGAGGGCATCCTATACCAACAACAGAACATATTGGTGGAGCAGGACGGCGACAGCACTGGACACCACGCGAAGCTGCAGGAAGCGAGGAGACTTCCAGCTCAGACACCTTGAGGAGTGTTGCAGGAGGCTCGCTTTGGAAGGAGTACCGCCAGCGGGCAGAACAGCGACACGAACGGCTAGGTTGCACAGGAAGGTCTGGAGCCAAAGGATCAAGGAGATACACAAGGTTGAGGAGGTAGTACTCGCGGGCATGGTCAAGCAGGCCAAGATAGAGGCGAAGATAGCGTTGAAGGAGGACCTGAGGAGAGGTGCAAGGGACGACGCGCGCTGGGTAGCCAACATGGAGGCCAGCGCGCCAGGTGCCCTGCACAAGATCACGAAGCCCAAGAGGAGACACGAAGACGGATGCGTCAAAGCAAGACGGAAGGCCACGAAACCGAAGGACAGCGTCGACCTGAAGGCTGAAGACTTCCAGGAGATGTTCAAGCACGCCAGCAAGCACGAGGATGCGGTGAAAGTGATCAACATGCTGCGCGAAAGGGCGCAAGAGGAGCCCACGCCAAGTTGGACACTTGAGGAGTTCGACGAAGCGATCAAGGGTGTCCCCAATAAAGGGAAAGGCACCGACATGATGATCATGGAAGACGTGAGGAGGCTACCTGAGAACGGCAGGAGGGCCTACATCGAGATGTACAACAGCTGTGAGGAGGAGGTGGCGTGGCCATGGCAGACACTGCAGGCGATGGTCATGCTGCAACCTAAGGACGCGGAGAAGATCGACGAGACGGCACTCACGGGAGGCGGGGACAAATCCCTCGCGCTGCTCACCTGGCTCGCCAGGACGTGGGAGCTGCTCAACAGGAGCCAGACCAGGAAATTGGCCAAGGAGGTGGAAGAAGACTTCGACGCGGCGGTGGCAGGGAACTCCTGCCTAAGAGAGGCGATGGCCAGAGCGCTGGGCGACGAGACCTCGCAGGAGCTTGGAGCCCACTCGGCGAACGCCTTGGTCGACGTGCAGAGGTTCTACGACTCCTTGGTGTTCGAGAAGGTGGCGCAGCGAGCTCGGGAGCACGGCTCCCCGCCGAGTGTTGGCCATGGCCATGATGCTCCATGTCACGCCGAGGATGCTGAAGGAGGGCAACGCATGCAGCCTGCCAATCTACGCCAGGCGCAGCTTGCTCGCGGGCTCTAGGCACAGCAACAACCTGGCGCGGACCCTCATCTACCACGTGGTGGAGACCATGAGGTGCAAAGTGAGGATGGTGCAGCCCAGGACTTGATTCGACGACATCGGCTTCAGAGCGGTGGGCAGCTTAACCAAGGTCGAGGACTGCATCGTGGACGCAACCTACGAGCTGGCGAAGGAACTACAGAGCGATGGGACTGGCCATGGCGGGGAAGCCAGTCCTATTCAGCACGAGCTTCGACATGACCAGGAGGGCCACCAAAAGACTGGAGGAGGTGGGAATCACGATTGAGGCCGCCACAGAAGGAAGAGACCTCGGACTCGACAGAGCAGGGGAGACCTGCACGAGGAGAACCACCCACAGCACGAGGAAGATGAAGGGCTTGAAAAGGTTCGCAGCGATCGCGAAGAAGCTCAAGAAAGCCAGGACGAGGAGACAGGTCATCGAGCAAAGACCCATGGCGCAGGTCGGCTACGGCACGAAGGCGTACGGAGCAAGCCCTTCAGAGCCCGCGGCCATCAGGAGGAGGTGTGCGAAAGGACTCAGGAAGGCATGGCCAGGAATGTGCCTCACCACGCTGCTGGACCTAGAGGGTGCCGACCCAGGCAATACCATCCCCAGGAACCAGATCCAGGCGTGGTTCGATATGTGGGCAAGCCGTCCTGATCTTCGAGCAGGAGTACGCTGAGCTTGGCCAGAGATCCGGGAACGACTCCTGGCAACACCGAAGACCACAAGATGGCAGCAGCGCAGAGGTATCATAGGATCGCTCATCCTGCAGCTCTGGGAGATCGACTGGGACGCGAAGACAGCCGACTTCTGGGAGGACGCCGACGGAGGAGGATGGCAGCTACAACCAGATGAAGGCAACGACGACCCCAGGGAGCTGCTGGACGCGATCACCATCGACCTGAGGAGAAAGGGCTGGGAGCGAGCCAGCCTACACCACAATGGAGCGGGCCTACAGCGTGGGGCCGCTGCCTACGACTTGAAGATGCAGCTGAAACGCCTGAGGAAGTACGGGAAGCACCAGATGTTCGTGGCGATCCTCAAGGCCGCGTGCGCAGGAACGTGGTCGCCACAACGGAGGCGAGACATTCGGAGAAGGCGTCTGCAACCTGTGCGAGTGCGGCGAGATCGCGGGCGACTTCCACATCGTCTGGGGCGAATGCAGCTGCAGGAGCGAACACAGCGCCTACAGGAAATCGGAGGAACTGGTTCACCGAGCGCGACAGGGACAGCACGAGTGGGCGGCTTTCTGGCTCAGAGGGATCACGCCACGAGCTTGGACTGCGCCACCAGCGTGCGAGACCGAGTACAAGCCAACACGGACGGGTTCAGCAGCCAACATCACCAACGAGGAGCACGGCGACAAGCTGAACTTGGCGGAGGACATGAGAACATGTGGAGATGGAAGCGGCGGTGAACCGGGTAGCAAGGCACGGTACAGGAGATGCGGCTTGTAGCTGGACCATCATGCAGAACAACGGGGGGATCTGGCAGGAGGCGGGTGCATGGACCGCTTCCAAGAGCTCGCCAGTCCAACAACAGGGCGGAGATCACGGCGTTCTTGGACTGCCTGCAGCCGACGGAGGGCGACCTGGTCTTCTACACGGATTCGGAGATCCTCTGCAAGGGCTGGAACAACAGAAAGTATCGATCCACGGGCTACAAGAAAGCGCACGGAGACCTCTGGAAGAAGATGAGGCAGCGACTGGAGGCGCGAGGAGTTGCCGAGGTACGAATGCGCCACATAGAGAGCCACATGACGATCGAGCAGGCTCAGAATCGAGGAGTACCGCTAGACGCGTGGAGAGGCAACCAGGGGGCGGACACCCAGGCAGGTGAGGCGGCGGCGATGCATGAGATCCCGAGGGCGCAGATGTGCTGCTACGACTGGGTCAGGGCGACTGCGCACAAGGTCAGGATACGCATAGGCCAAGCCTACATGGAGCAGTTCGAGCGGACTAAGCCCATGACATGGGAAGAGAAGGCAGAGGCGAAACTCAGAAGGAAGCAGTCGCAGCCAGAGATCGAGTCCTTCATGAGCGTGCTGGCCAACACCCCGCACTTGCTGACGCAATAAGGGAGGACATGGAGGTGCGCACGATGCAGAGAGTCGATTGGGAGACACCAGCGATCCAGGGCGTCGAAATGGTGGCTCAGGAGATGCAAAAGGAGAAGCAAACGCCCAAGCGGAACGCCAAGAAGGTGCTAATCGTGCCCTAGTCCTCAAGGGCGAAATCTCGCACCAGTCGCACACGATCTGCTGGTCGAGACACAAGGGGAGATACTTCTGCTGGAGTTGTGGGGCCACAGCGGAGAAGCATCTCAGCTACAAGATGGTGAAAGAGTGCGACGGGTGGCCAGCAGGACAAGCATCGAGGTATGCTCTCAAATCGTTAATGACGAAGAAGGACTGGCCGCCTGGCGCTGGTACGAGGTGGAGCAAGAGCTCCATGGCGAAGTTCACGAAGTCCGAGGAAGTGGAGAGCTGCGGGAGAACGGCGGCGACGCCTGAGCGCCGCGCCTCTGAGCGGGAGGCTGTCGCCTGCCGCTGCAGACAGTCGTTGACTGTTAATGAGGTTCGGGAAAAATTGATCTGGACCTTGGTCTGTGAGAGGGCCGTCCCAAGCGCTCGTGGAAAATGATGAAGCAGGATTGTGACGGGTGGGGGTTCATCCTGGGGTCGTCCTTCATAGTCCGGGGCTCATCCGGGCCATGAGGACTTGACACCATCGAGACGGGGAAAGGAGGGGATGACCGAGAAAGTGAATGACCATGGGAGGCTGAAGCAAGCCCGCGCTGTCCCATGTGGCCGATTCAGGAGGGATCGTTGAGAACTACCCTACCTGTGGCTTCTGTCTGCTCCGTGGGGCACGCCCAGAGCAGCGAGGAGCGAAGAGCTTGAAGCGGGAAGCGCGATGAGAGGAGCGAAGAGCCTAGAGCGCGAAGCCGAAGAGAGGAGAGATGAGCGAAGAGGAGGGAGAGAGGAGTGATGGGCGAATGTCAGGGTGCGAGGCGAGAATGGCGTGAACAGGGACGCGCTGGGAGCGAGGAGAAAAGAGCGGACAAGACGCAGATTGCCCAATGAAGCAGTGGGAGGATCTAGTTGAGACCCTCGAGGCGCTCTTGGAGTGCTCTTGGCTTGGAGCCTTCCTGCATCCGTCGCGGGGCTCTCTCGAGCTATCTTGGGTCTCTCCTGGGGCCTGTCGAGGCCGTCTTGGTGGCCTTTGGTGTCACTGCGTGCTGTTTTGCGGGGGTCTGCGGGTCTCCAGGGCCGTGTTGAGGCGGCATTGGCCCTCATAGGGGTCGTCTTGGCGGCCAGCTGGGGTAATCTTGACGGAAGTGGGAGTGTTCGGGGGCTGGGCCCCTTAGGGCCATCTAGATAGCTTGGCGTTCCTTGGAGCCTCTGGGTGCTGTTGGTTTTGTTGGGGGAAGGGGCTGGAGGCGATCAGGGGGCTCACGGAGCCATGCTGGGGCGCATTGGGCCGCCTTGGAGCAGTCTCGGAGGCCAGCTAGAGCCATCTTGGGCTCCCTTCGGGGCGTCCTGGGTCCGCTTGGAATCTCTCGGGATTCTCTCCGATCCGTCGGCAGCCTCTGCGGGAGTTCGAGGCGCATCCAGCGGTGGCGACGAGGGCCTCCCAGGATGCCCAAAAGGGGGAAAACGGGTGAGGGGCAGCGGTATCGGTACCTCTTTTCCTCCTCTGAAGAAAAGCTCAAACAGCATTTGTAGTCTGACAATTTCGCCTCTCTGGCGCTCCCCGCGGACGATCGGAAGGGCCTCTTGAAGACACCGTCGGCGTGTTCGGGGCCTCTCGGGACTGACTACCTACCAGACCACCCCAACCCAACCCGAAGACCCGAATTTGAATCGAATTTCGGGTTGTGGGGGGTGCGGGTTCCATGTGTTTTTACAGTGTTCCCAGACCCCCCCACACTGGAAATGGAGGGCAAATTGTAGCCTTCGGGTTGGGTTAGGGTGGTTTGGTGGGTGGTGAGGGACCCTCTTGGGCACCTCTTGGGAATCCACAAAACTTGATTCGTCAACTCGCGGGCACATGAACCGTCATAGGCATCTTCCGGCTCTCCAAGGGGCATCTCTAGGGTCCAGGAGCTAGCATCTAGCACTGATTTCTAAACTCGAACGCGCTTCGCCCAACATTGCAGTACAGATGACGTAGTCGGGCTCCAACTTCGCGCTGGACATCTCGCTCAGCAGCGTCAAAGCTCGCTGCCACTGCTCGTCCATCTCGCACGCACTGACCCCAGATTTGCGAAAGAATCGTGACAGTGTGGCTTTACCGAACGCGCTGGGGCGAGTACCGTGCCAAATATGCATCAGTCCTCGGCCAGTAAGCCATACAGCTCCCTGGATAACGACAGCGCCTGCCTCCATTCTCCGCCTTGCTCGCACAAACTTATGGTAGATCCGTAGGCATTCGCATTCAAGCCGGCGTCCGCATTTGCCCAGCGCAAATTGCTGAGCATGCTTATGACCAGAGCCTGCTGCCCGCTCTTCTCACACGCGTTAACACCAGCGCCGTAGCTAACGACGTTGGGCTCTAGCTTCGCCTGCCGCATCTCGCTGAGCAGCCACAGAGCCAGCGGCCAGGTCCCCCCCTTCTCGCACGCGCTGATTGCAGCGCTATAACTGACTGGTGTGAATCCGTAGGAAAATCCACGGCTGGCAGGTCCACGTGTCGGCCCCGAACACACACATGTGTCGCCGACGCCTGCGGGTTTGCTCCGAGGAATGCTGGGGGTTCCGGGCTCCAGAGCTGATGGCTGTCTTCGAGTGTCTTGGGAGGATCTGGGCTGTCTCGGAGTGGTCCCTGGAAGGTTCTGGTGGGATCGAAGGCTTCCCGCAGTCCAGTCTCGCTGCAGCCTCTTGCAGGAGGCGGGGGGTAAGGAGGAGGAGGAGGAGGAGGAGGAGGAGGAGGAGAATGGCGGTACTGGAGATGGGGTGAGTGCAGGCTCATAGAAGGAAGCGGAGGCAGAGAAGATGGGAGGATGTCCCCCTTCTCACCCCTCATCGGATGGGGGGTGTAGGAGGGAGTGAACAGTCCAGAGGGAGGGAAGTGCAGGTTCGCAGACGAGGAAACCAGGGTAGAGAAGAGAGAAGAGAAAAGACTGTTCCCCTTGTCACCCCCGATCGCTGGGGGGGAGGGGGGCGTGCTGGGCTGTGCGGGGGGAGGGAGTGAGGCGCATGATAGCGAGAGGAGGACGGGAGTAGCTCTAGAGCGAGGACGGTATTCGGATTCTTCTGGAGGCCTTCGGAGGCAGCAAGGGATGCGGGTGCTGCTGCAGGGAGACATGTCCCCCACCCCGAACAGGCTGTGTGGGGGCCCCAGAGTGGCTGGAGCTTCAAGGAAAGGGAGCCAAGGAGAAGGATCAGGAGGAGGAGGAAGGAGTGAGAGTAGAGAGCTGAATGGGGATAGGAGGCTCGTCTGGACTTGTTATAGATAAGAGGCTTTGCTGAAGGCAACCGGAAAAAACACAAATGCGGGAAGCTCTCTTGGGAACCCCGCCAGAATTATCGGAATATCTTGGGAGTGTCTCGGGCGCCTCGGAGTGGTCTGGGGTTTCGTTCGGGCTCCGCGGCTTTCTTTGGAGCTTCTGGGGTTCCAGCTTCGGCGCAAGGGTGCCGTGGCTGATGGCGCTCTGCTTAAAACTCCTTGGCAAGTTTTGGAGTCTCTTGGGAGACTCTGAGGCATCGGAGTGGTCCTTGGCAGGAGTGGTCTTGGGAAGGTTCTTGGCCCATTGGGAGCTGCGGGAGGCCTTCGTCTGGACTATCTTCGGACCCTCTTGGAGGCTCCTTCGGGGTCTTTTCTTGGAGCCTCCGGGGCGTCTCTGGTGCTATTTTGGAACGCGTTTCTGGGGTTATTTCTGGGGGCTTGTAAGGACGTCCTGGGGCCATCCGCAGGGGGGGGCTGTTGATGTTGGGAGTCTTGGGGCGTCTGGGGGCGATGTTACATGGTTCAGGCCGTATGGGAGCCCGCTGAAGCCCTCTCGAAACCCACAGGGGGCCCCCAAAAGCGCACCAGGCCGTTCAGCCACCAGAACAGCCCAGCATGGCCCCAAGGTGGCCCAACATGAAGCAAGAGAGCCTCGTGGACTGTCCAGGATGGCCGCCACAGTGGCCCCAACATGCCGCAGGCTGGCGCCAATACTTGTCCCAGAGTCTCTCTCGGGTGTTCGTCCACGCTTGTCGCTAGCATCATGCGCGCGATTGGCCTTCAGTCTCCTCCGAAGGGTCCTCCAACGAGCCGCACAATGTCTGGGCCTGTCAGGGCGTTTGGAACTTCTCCGATGCGGCCTTGGAACTATCTTCTAGAGTGAACACGTGATGGATCCCTGCAATGCGGACGCGGCCGCAAGTAACCCCCACAAGAAACCCAGCCAGGAACATCCGCGCGCGAGGTGCGATGTTGGTGGGGAAGCCAGAGAACCCCGAATGCAACAGCTTCTTTGACGGCCGCGGGGAGTCACCGCGCAGCGAGCGGAGCGAAGAAACCCAGGCTGTCTTGGGGTCCTCTCGGGCTGACATGGGGCGATGCTGGCGGTCTCGGGCCGCCTTGGACCCAACTTTGGGACCTGTCGGGTAGCCCCTGGTGTCCTCTTGGGGCTGTTTTGGGGGCCGCCACCGGGGACTCTATGAGGCTGCCTGAGGTTTCTCTTGGGCAGTTTGGCGGGGCCTCCTGGAACGTCTTGGGGCGACACGGAATGGCCCTGGAGCCGTCTGGGGCCGGTCTGGACCCGAAATGGCGAGAACCTGGAAAATTTTTACACAACAGAAAATATAAATGATTTTGGCTTTGGGGGACCGTCATCGGGGTCCAGTCGGCTGTTTTGGGAGGCAACTGGCCCGTCGCCGGGCCGTCTTGGGCTGTCATGGGGATCCGTTCGGGTTCTCTTGGGCCGACCTCGCGCGCTCCGGAACGTCTCAGAGCTGTCTTGGGACTGTCAGAAGCCGTCTTGGGGCCGCCAGAGAGCGCTGGGGCGCGTTGGGCGCCCGCGGGCAGCTCGCGAACTGTTCGCCCCTTTCGCACGCGCAACGACCAGAGTTGTAGTACAGATGACGTCGGGATCCAACTTCGCCTCCCACATCTCGCTGAGCAGCGCCAGAGCCCGCTGCCACTGCCCGCCCTTCTCGCACGCGCTGATCCCAGCGTTGTAGCTGACCAGGGTGTACCCGTGGACTACGTCCACTTGCGAAGTGATGGAGCGCTGCCGTCACGCGATCACGATGGATGGCGTCAGGTTCGCCTACCACATGTCGCCGAGCAGTTTGAGCGCCGCCTGATTGGGGAGCATGGGAGATGAGGAGGCTCGATCGGGGCATGTGCAAAGCGCATTGGGAACGGAGGCGCGATGGAGCAGCCGGGGGAGAAGAACATGGATGTCTTCCCATCCGCCTCATTATCCTTTTGTTGCTCCTGTTCCTCCTCCTCCTCCTCCGTTTCCGTCTCCTCCTCCTCCTCCCCCTCCTCCTCCTCCGCCTCCTCCTCCTCCTATTCCTCCTCTTCCTCCTATTCCTCCTCCTCCTGCTCCTCGTCCTCCTCCTCCTCCTCCTCCTCCTCCTGACTCCCTCATCCTTCTCAGTGCCCTCCTGATCATCCTCGTACCCCTCATCCTGTCCCTCATCTTCCTCTTCATTCTCCTCTCCTTCGGGTTCTCCCGCCTGTCCCTCTGCAGCGTTGGAACGCAGCGCGACAACACCCTTCGGTAAGGCGTCGAAAAATGCGATTGCGTTGAAGGCGTCGGCAGGGCCCAGTCTCGCGGGGTCTTCCTAGGCCTCTCTCGGGACTCTCTTCGAAATTCCTGAGATCTTCTTGGGCTCCTTTCGGGGGCTCCTCGCGGTTTCAAGGCCGTCTCGGGAGGGGCCTCGAGGGCGCCAGGACGGAACAAAACAGAGTTTCGAGGTGTTCGTTTTGAGGGGCGCTCAAAACGAACAGTGCCCAGCCCGTGGTGGGGCCTTCCCAGGCCTCTCTCGGGCTCCCTTCGAAGCGTCTGAGATCTTCTTGGGTTCCTTTGGGAGGGTCCTCCCGGCTTCAAGGCCGTCTTGGTAAGGGCCTCGAGGGCGCCAGGACGGAACCAAAATGAGCTTCGAGGTGTTCGTTTTGAGGGGCGCTCAAAACGAACAGTGCGTGGCCTCTCGCGGGGTTTTCCTAGGCCTCTCTCGGAGCTCTCTTCGAAGTTCCTGAGATTTTCTTGGGCTCGTTTGGGTGGCTCCTCGCGGCTTCAAGGCCGTCTCGGGAGGGGCCTCCGGGGCGCCAGGACGGAACCAAAAAGAGCTTCGTGGTGTTCGTTTTGAGGGGCGCTCAAAACGAAGAGAGCGCGGCCTCTCGCGGGGCCTTCCTACGCCTCTGGGGGGGCTCTCTTCGAGGCTCCTGAAATCTTCTTGGGCTCCTTTGGGAAGGTCCTCGCGGCTTCAAGGCTGTCTCGGTAGGGGCCGCGAGGGCGCCAGGACGGAACCAAAATGAGCTTCGAGGTGTCCGTTTTGAGGAGCGCTCAAAACGAACAGGGCCCAGCCCCTGGTGGGGTTTTCCCAGGCCTCTCTCGGGGCTCTCTTCGAAGCGTCTGAGATCTTCGTCGGCTCGTTTGGGGGGGTCGTCGCGGCTTCAAGGGCCCTCTTGGTAGGGGCCTCGAGGGCGCCAGGACGGAACCAAAAAGAGCGTCCAGGTGTTCGTTTTGAGGGACACTCAAAACAAACAGTACCCAGCCCCTGGTGGGGCCGCAAAGAACGCGAGGGCGCGGGGAAAAGCACGCACCAGGAGCTCGCAGGGAACCTCGTCAGTAGGAACGTCGAAGTGGCTGGTTTTCCAGAGAAAATGTTTTTTTCCCCTCCTCAGGCGTTCCTGCCGGCGCGTGTTAGACCGCTCTGGGGCCATTTTGGGCGCGCGGGGGAGGCTGCTGAGCTTGCAGGGCGCCTCCGGAAGCATCTCGGAGCGCCCGAAGAAATCCCAAGAGAGCCCGGAGGCACTGGGAGCTGGCAGGGAACCTCGTCAGCAGTAACTTGAAAGTGGCTCGTTTTCCCTAGGAAATGCCTCTTTTCCCCTTCCTCAGACGCTCCTGCCGGCGCGTGTTGGAGTGTCTTGGGCCATCGTGGGCAAGAGGGGGAGGCTGCTGAGCTTCCAGGGCGCCTCCGGGGAGGCATCTCGGAGCGTCTCGGAGCGGCCTGAGGCAGCATCGGAGCCGCGCTGGAGTCGACCAGAGCTTGCTGGGACGCCCGGGGAGGGCTCCGGAGGGGCCGGCCCGCGGCCACTGCGTTACAATTTGGCGAGCGGTGAACGCTGCATTGTAGTAGAGACTAGGGCTGACCCGTGGACTCCGTCCACGACATCTGGCCAAGAGTATTCTAGGGGGGACCGGCGGGAATGGTGCCGAAAGGCTATTCACCCCTTCCAAAGCTTCCAAAGCAGCGCCCCGAGCTGCACTGGCACGCTCCGTGGCGCCTGCCGGCACCGCCCGACGGGGACGATGACGGCGGCGGCGGCGGCAGCGAGACACAGAACGCTTGCGGGGAGGTAGTTCGGGCGCGGGGCGCTCTGCGCGATGATCCCACGGTTAACCACTTAGGGTCTACTAGGCGCCGTGTGGGGGCCTCTTGGAGCTTCTTTTGGGCTTCGAGGGGGCCTTTGGGGG